CAGTAATAAAAGAGTGACTAAGACAACAGGTGTCATCAAAGGGTCCTTTAGAATCCGCCTTTGCTTTTAAAACACCAGCAGTTACGGCAAGTAGGTCATAGTACTTTGCAGTTTTAGTGTTTTCATTGCTGGGATGGAACTATTCTCCTAGGTTAGATAAGCCTCGTGATCAACAGAAGCACTTCCCTAGATTACTTAGCTGTGTACCTCTAAATGGGGAGTCAGTGCTACTGTGTGACTTTCTTGTTTCTGTGAAAACAGCTGAGAAAAGCCACTTGAGAAAGGAAGGTCTTATTTTGGTTCACTGTTTGAAGCGAGCCCATCCTGGAGGGACATCATGGTAGGGCATGTCGGGAGGCAGAGAGGTGAAGGCCATCAGCCTGCTTTCTCCATTTGTTTCTTTTCAATCCATCCAGGACCTTATCCCAGAGGATGATGCTTCCTGAATTACGGGTGGGTCTGCGCTCCCCGGGAAATCTCTCTGGAAACAAACTCTCCAGCATACCCAAATCTGTCTCTTGGGTGAGTTCAAATCCAGGAAGGTTAACACTGAAGTTAAACCTTCACAGGGACTTTAAGAAATAGGTGAAGAACTTTAGATTCTCTGTAAAACTACTGTACTCAACAGCAGGCAGAGGTGGCACAGCTCATGCCTTTAGTCACAGCACTCGGGAGACAGAGGTAGGCAGATCTCTGTGAGTTTGAAGCCAGCCTGGTCTACATACAGAGCAAGTTCCAGGACAGCCAGGGCTACACAAAGAAACCTTGTTTCGAAAACCAGAAAAAGGTGCTGGACCCGGGCATTGGAGCACGCCTTTAATTTTAATCCCAGCATTCAGGAGGCAGAGGCAGGTGGATCTCTGTGAGTTCGAGGCCAGCCTGGTCTACAGAGTGAGTTCCAGGACAGCCTCCAAAACAATACAGAGAAACCCTATCTCGGAAAAAAAAAGAAAAAAAAAAAAAAGGAAGGAGGAAAGAAACAGAGAGACAGGCAGAGAGAGAGAGAGAGAGGCAGAGAGAGAGAGAGGGAGAGAGAGAGGCAGAGAGAGAGAGAGAGGCAGAGAGAGAGAGAGGCAGAGAGAGAGAGAGAGAGAGAGAGAGAGAGGCAGAGAGAGAGAGAGGCAGAGAGAGAGAGAGGCAGAGAGAGAGAGAGAGCAGAGAGAGAGAGAGAGAGAGAGAGAGAGAGAGAGAGAGAGAGAGAGAGAGAGAAACTATCATAGGCATTTGTTGTGTTTCTTAATATAAAATCTGTGTCAGGATTCATTTTTGGTTAGGTTTCAGGAATTTCTCTTAGCACAGCTTTCTGGCATGGTTTCATCCCTTAGCCCCTTCTCCCAGCCACCACCAGGTTTTCTTTCTCCGTTATTTATCTCAGCTTGTTTTTTGTTTTTTTTTTTAAAAGGTACATATATCTTCTTTCACGGTCCTCTGTAAATTTGTCCAGAAGTGATGGTGTATAAAAACTAGCTATGCCGCATGCCCCAAGACCTCCCCCAGTCAGCTGCCGCAAACGCCCGCACAGTCACCCTGACTTTAGCATGTGTTCCCGACGGTGTACCCACTCATTTGCAAAGTAACTTCCCAAAGTCCCACCCCAAGTTTCACATGGCCCCGGCAAAGGAGCTTCCGCTCCCTTTCCACCCCTCTGAAACCTGTATCTTAGTCAAATGCACTATTGCTCTGAGTCACGCACGGTGCCGGTTCTCTTTGATTAGCAACTGCTGACTCACTCACCGCACACCTTCTGGTTCTGAAAGCCCCGCCTCAGCCCCGGACCCTTGGTGCTGTGCTGTGGGCACCGGTAGCTTGTGAGTCACTCCTTAGCTTCCTTCACGCCGATTCGCTTCCTCCTAAGTGTCATGAGTTGGACTCTTTGTTCAGTGGGGACTAACGTCTGTACCTCCTCCCCCATCCATCCCACGGGCAAACGCCATCCCCTCGGAACGTACAGACAGACAGCTGCACTCACGGCAACCCGTCAGTCGTGAGGAGGGCTGTATTGCAGAAGGTGCTCAAGAAGCAAACTGGAGAAAACTTTTAGACCGTGGAAACCTTTATGGGAAAGGAGAAGGGGAAGAGGGAGGATGGGCATTTCCTGAGCCCCGGCTTTGTGCTAGACACCACTCTAGAGTTTAGCCTTCCTAGTCAGCCTCTGAGGTGGGCCCATTTACGCCACTTTCCAGATGAGAAAACAGCCCCAGAAGGGAGAAAGCGAAGGACTTACTCAAGTTGTCTGACAATCGTCTTAGCCATTTTGCTCCTGCTATAACAGAACACCACAGTCCTGGCGACTTACAAACGATAAAAAATGTGTACTAGGTTCAAGACCGAGAAACATGCAGGTTTGGCTTCTGGTAAGGGTCGAGCATTGGCTTTAACGCTGGAGTCTGGAAGAGGGATAGAGAGAGAGCCCAGCGCTGTGGCCCCTTAGAGCTGCCATGGGTCAGGGTTGCCCCCATGGGTCAGGGTTGTCCCCATGGGTCAGGGTTGCCTCCCTTGGGACTCAAACGCTTCCAGTTACATCGTACTTCCCAACTTGACCGCACTGGGATTCAGTTTCAAAATAAGTTTTGGAGGAAAACTCAAGCCGTAGCAACCATTAGGATCCCATAGGGAAGGCACATAAAGGAACTCTATTGATGGTGAGCCTGGGTTCAAATCCCAGTCCTGTTACTTGTGCCTGACTTTGAACAAATTTTTTTTTTAACTTCGTGGAGCACTTGTTTTATCACTTCTAAAACCCTGACGACTGTTGGAAGGAGAAAATGAATCCCACACAGGATGATAAGCAGTTAACAGGTATTAGCTATCATTATCCAATTGTCCATTATTTCCTCACTAGTATCTCATTGCAGGATAGATTTTTCTTTTCTTGTCCAAATAGTGCTACTTTTATTTCCCCCGTCACTTGGAAACCATTCACGTGGAATGGTAGATCTGATCACGGGCTCACCTTTGGAGTCACTGAGGGATTTGAAACATCCCTTGTGGGATGCTTGCGTACCACCCCTGGCGATTCTGATTCATTTGGTTTGGGAAGTTAAGCTCAGTATGGCTACTGATTAGTCTTAGAGGTTCTCCGTGTCAGCTTGGCCACAGCCATCTGCACAGCTCCAGTGTGCCCAGTTCCCCTAGAACGGTGATTCTCAACCTTCCTCATGCTGCAACCCTCCAATACAGGCCCTCATGGTTAGGTAAGCCACCCCCCCCAGCCGTGAAATTATTTTCATTGCTACTGTATAACTGCAATTTTGCTACTGTTATGAGTCATAATGCAAATACCAATATTTCTGGTGGTTTTAGGTGACCCCTGTGAAAAGATGGTTCAACTCTCCCAAGGTGGGTGTACTCCACAGGATAGAAATGTCACTCTGGAGCCAGGCTATCCCGGGACTCCATCCCTCTAAGCAGGGCCAGCTCCAAGGAAAGACCTGTTTTCAACAGAACTCTCTTTGCTAAATGTTGAAGGACATCACACCAAGATTACCAAATTGTGCGTGTCAGTGATGAGGGCCGTAAAGCCAGCCGCCTACAATACCGGATTCTTCTGAACTCGAGTTTACCAGAAAAGGCCATGGCCCCTGATTTGTCTTCATCTGGGGTAGCACTGTCACTGGCCTCAAGTCATTATGCTGTCCTCTCCTGGGAACCACGGGGAGGGTACAGCATCCTTTGCCTTAGTCACCCTGTTTCCCTTCCTCCTCTATCACATTTCCTTTCCCCATGGTTGGCCCAGACTGTTTTCCTCATGTTGTATTAGTATGGATGCACCACTGGTGGTTTTAGCTGAAACTTTCAGGCCGTGAGGACATTTTGTCCCATTTACGTCTCTTCCAATGGCTCTCCCTGATTCCGAGTGGCACACCAGCTCTCTCAGTGAACCAGTACCTATTTCCTTTCTTTCTTATGGAGTAACTGCCCATGGGGCCCCCACTCTTCAGCACTGGGGCTCACCCCTGCCCATGTCTTCCATCCATCATTCATCTCTTTCGAGAATAATGTTTGCACTAAGCTCAGCGTTGGTGTCTCCAGATTGTATGGGATTTGTGAACCAAGATGTTTCTCCAGTGCCACACAATCTATCCCTTTGTCTGATCGTAGAGTGATGCCAACGTAGCCTCTGGTGGAATGAATGCAGTCTGTGTTGGGTTGGGTTTTGTTTTTCTTCTGTTTTAATTGCCCACAGGAAAAACATTCATGTTTTCCTCATAGGGCTGTATGTAAAACCTATCAGGAAGCCTGCATTAAAACTCCGTAACACTTTAAGGCTATTTATGCCCAGATAACTTTGTGTTGGCTTTAAGCAAGGGGGCAAACCATGGAGTCATCAAAACCAAGAACCAAAGACAAGAGCATAGAATAAAGATGGGGGAGGAGGAAGCAGGGGGAGAAAAACCAAAACAGTTCTGGTAAACAGGGAGGGAAAGTGGAGGAGATGGGAAAGGATGTGTCCAGGGGGACCTGTCTCCAGAAGTGTAACTGTGTCTCGGTGTGCGTCCAAGGTCAGCTTGGGCTAAACAGAAAGTTCCGAGACCAGCCTGGGCTACGGCTGAAACTCTAACTCAAAATTCCAGTAATAATTACTGACTGACTGACTGAGCCTTGACAATCAAGGCAAAAAGAAAACAAGGCAAGTCCTAGTCTGTGATAGCCGACTAAGAGGAGATTTAAACTTCACCTGATCCCTCAAAGCTGAAAGCAAGAGGTAGTGCCCAGTGCACACTCTATTGGTGGTGGCTGAGAAACTCCACTCTGTGCTAGGTGTCCATCTAGGGACCTAATAGCAGCTTTTGTCTGGTTCACGTTTCTGGAAGTTTCTGATAAAGCCTGACTCCTAGACCTGCACCTAGAGACACAGCCATGACCATCTACTTGTTATAGTGCTAACTGCTGATTTTGGCTTCTGTAAAATTTTTTGTGCAGATACTCAAAGACTATTTCCAGGTCACTTTGACAATCTACTCTTGGCAGAACAAAAACAAACAAACAAAAAAAAGCTCTTGTGATTTTCGACTTTAAAAGCCCTTCCTTCATTCTGGACAGGAATGGAGAACCTCTTTAAGCCCAGGCAAAGTCTAGACTGGTCTACAGAGTGAGTTCAAGGATAGCCAGGCCTACACAGAGAAATTCTGTTTTGAAAATCCAAAAGCAAAACAAAACAAAACCAACCAAACTGAAAATCCTTCCTTCTCCTGCCTCTGGGTAGCACATCTCTGATTTGGATTTGAGACTGTGGTCCTGCTGGCAGCTTTAATAAATTTAACTAAAATTTAAGTTGAGCCTGGTGTCTTTTCCTGGTGATTTCAAACTCTGTAACACGTCCACATGCAACTTGCCAGTCAGTAACCTCAGAAGCCAGATCAGTGTCCCTGAGCCCAACACTTGCAATCCGAATGAGGTTGAGGAGGGAAGGATGAGGGGGACTTGTGGGGTAGGATTTTTTTTTTTTTTGATGAGAGACGTCAGTATGTAGAGAAATTCATTATTCCATCCAACTGAAGAAATCAGAGCTGGGAGATGTCACCTTGCCTCCTGGCTGGTTTTTCAGAGTCTTGGAAACTGGTTGGCCTCTGGCTCTCACAGGACAGATGCAGAGCTCGGGGTTCTCCAGAAGGCTTGGTCTGTGTCCCTAGAACTCATAGGCTGTCACAAAATGCCTCAGCTTAGGCCAATTTTGTTACACTGAGCGAGCTCTTGCCCACACGGGGTTAAAGGTGCAGCAGCACAAGCCTTTAAGCCCAGAGGCAGGTGGATCTCCATGAGTTCCAAGTCAGCTCAGTCTATACAGTGAGTTCCGGAGCAGTCAGGGACACAAAGGGAGGCAAAAAATCGCAAAATAAAACAAGCCATGCTCTTAACCACACTGCAGAGGCAAGCTGCCTTGGTGATGTATCTTTTATCTCTGAGCTACCGCCAGAGGCTTTGCTGACCAGCAGAGTGGATACTTGAATTGGGCTTTAAGTTGTTAAACTAGGAGTCTTGAGGTTAAGTGATTTGGTCACAGTATTCAAGAGAACTTCCTCATATTTTCACCAGCTGGGTATAGGTTTGGGGGAGTCAGAGCCCGGACCTCATGAGATAGGGTGACTAGCAACCGGTTCTAAGAGACATGATCCTAACTCTTCCGTTAACTGGTGTTCAGGGGAGTCGGGGTCCCTCCAACGCAGTCCAGGCTGGCTTTGAACTCCTCTTCCTCAGCCTCCCACACTCTTGGGTTTCAGACACACACCCCTATACCCAGCTACCTTGAATCTTCACTTTTTTTCACATTATGTTTTTCCTAAATAAGCCTTCAAGGCAGGGGCGTTTTTACGATATAGCCCGGCTGCCTTGTGAAAGGGAAATGTCCTCAAATCCTCTGAATGCTGGCGAATCTCAATGTTCAGCTACAGACAACCAAACCTGGCTGAGCTGCTGCCTGCAATAGCCTGGGCTGACCATAACAAGAAAGCTAAGTTGGGGAACTCTAAATTGGGAGGAAGGACCGTGGACCTCCTGGGGACAGAGAAACTGAAAGTGAAGAAGAGGGTGAGCTTCTCTGTGCTGGGTGACGAGGCTGAGGTGACCACACAGACCGAGAGCTTTTTCTCAGGGAAGCGGCTCCACCCGAATTGACTAGTGGCATGCCAGGAGGGGATTATGTGATGGTTGACCTGAGTTTGCCACCTTGATGGGACTTGGGATGACCTCGGACATAGCTGCAGGTGAGGCTGTTTCTAGAGAGGCTTAACTGAGGTGAGAAGACCTAACCCTGAACGTGGGTGGCACCACCCTGTGGGTGCTCATTCCTGGGACGGACAAAAAAGGAGAAAGCCGTGAGCTCCCGCCTCCTATGGTCTCTGCTTTCTCACCGCGACGGCAAATGTGCTGCCTCGCCACGCTCCTGCTGCCGCACAGCTGAAAGCCACTCTTGTTTTGAGACAGGGTCTCACTGTGCAGTGCTGAGCGGGCTGGAACTCACTATGAAGACCAAGCTGCTTTTGAACTTACAGAGATCCACCCGCCTCTGCCTCTCAGGAGCGGGTGGCAGTCAACATCACGACCATGAAGAAGAGCCATTCCGACATCCTCAAACTGCGGAGCCAAAATAAACCACTCCTTCCTTAAGTTCCTTCTTGCCAAGTAGTCTGTCACAGCAAAGGAAAAGCAACTAACGAATTGGCCATTGTGCAAAAAAGACGGAAGACAAATAGGTGGGTGGGTGCTTTTGGAAGCTCCCATGCCGCCCAGGCACAGGGAGGCTTGGGTATTCACACTTGGGAGCTTCTGAGGAAGACAGGTAGAGTAGGGGACAGGGAAATTCAGGTGGGAGGCAGGCTCAGGCAGAAAGATGCTCCCAGCCAGGTAATGAATGAGCTGCCTATCCTTGTCCGCTTAGTCAGAACCGACAGAGAGGTTCAAAGAAGACATTCTCTCCTTCAGTGACTCCGAGCCAGCGGGGCACAAAAAAAAAAAAAATGACTGCTGAGTCAGAGCTGCATGAGGAGTCATGGCTAGACCTTCCCAGGCTTGCTAATCTCAAGTCAGCACACGATTCTCTCTGGTTTCCTTGGAGGCACAGACTCTGAGGACACTGGAGACAAAAGGAACCCCAGACACGGTGTTCCAGATGTTATGCATCAGCCTGCTCTGGTGTGTCACCTCTTGGGCTGGCTGTTTTGCTTTTCCAGCCACGGTGATAAATCATAATGTTGGGAGGCTTCACTCCTTGCGCAGTTCCAAAGCTTAGGTTTACTTTCTGCCTTACTTCTTCCTCACAGGTCCTGGGAAGGTGCTCCGGTGCTCACTGAACACTCCCAGCTACCTTCATCTTCCATTTCTTGAGGTGGCGCTGCTTACCATCAAGAGCTCTAGGCCATGCATCAGGAAAAGGGGGCTTCCTTCTACCCTCCGACAGCATTCAGCTCGGTGGCTCCTGCTGGGGATGGACCAACAGGTTCTTTTCAGTGCCAGTGTGAGGAGTCTGAGGTCACCCCCAAACCTCCCTTTCATTCTGGAGGGCTGTCGTCCCCAGCCCTCACTTAAGAGCTTACTCGGCTGAGGATAAACTGGGCTAGTGTCTGCCTGTCTGCCCTCATGGGACGGTGTTGAACCCACGGCCTCAGGAATGCCCAGAAAGTCTGCCAAGGGTTCCTCTCTTTCTTTCACGATCACATTTCTTAGTTCCTCTCCTCCCGGTCTTGACTGGTACCCACCGGTCCCCTGAAGGCCATGGTTGTCTCTTGCTCTGTATCCTTGTGACAAACCTGTGATTCCAGCCCCAGTTGAGCCTGCAAGGGTCAGACTAGCCGCCGTATGGTCATGCTGGGTGAGCCTGTGAGGTGCAGCTGTCACCTCTGACCCTAGCGGGTGATTGGTAGCATTCAAGACCTGGTCTCACTTTTCGGGGCCTCTAGCAGAAGCAAGCACCTCTGCCTGCTTCAGGCCTGGCTCCATTTGGTTACCAGCTCCTTCCTCCCAGAACTTTTTTGGCTTCTTCTAAAAACAGAATAAACCAGGGCTGGAGAGATTGGCACAGTGGTTAAAAGCGTTTGTTTTTAAGACCGAGGTTCAACTCCTGCTTGAGGGGATACAACGTCTTCTGTCCTCCAGGGCACCTCATGAATGAGGTGCACAGCCATACAACATACAGGCAAACACCCATAAACAAAATAATAAAGTTAAGCCCAGGTAGTGTCGGCGCACACGCCTTTAATCCCAGCACTCGGGAGGCAGAGGCAGGAGGATCTCTGTGAGTTCAAGGCCAGCCTGGTCTACAAGAGCAAGTTCCAGGACAGCCTCCACAGCCATAGAGAAACTCTGTCTCGAAGTCCTCCCCCCCAAAAATTAACTAAATTAAATTTAAATAATAAATCAAGAACCATCCCAGGCTGCTTCTTGCTAGTCGGCTGACATTTTATGAAGCCCCTAAATAAATGAGTGTTGCCTTTTCTCATCTACGAGGGAACTCTGTTTTTTATTTTTCTTGTAGGTTTACGCATCCCCTTCACCTCCTCGGAAAGAAACTGAACACAAGTAATCTATGTGGTTAGAGAGCTTCTCACAGTGTGCCCAGACTCCAGCACACAGTGTGCCTTCTTACTGGTGTTCCTGTCTCCTTGGTTGTGTATGCCCCTGAGAGAGAGGAAAAGAAGGAGAGGTAGGGAGAGGGGGAGATCAGGAAGGAGAGGGAGGGTGGGAGGAAGAGGGCGGGACAGACAGACGGCCAGATGGACAGACAGACACAGACAGACAGACAGACAGACAGACGGACGGACGGACGGACGGACGGACGGACGGACACACACACACACACACACACACACACACACACACACACACACACACGCACAGGAACACATGGGTGCAAACTCATTCCTGGTACAGTCCGGCCAGGCTGGGTGTTCCTCCTCCTGGGGAGGGAGGGTGGGTGGGCGGGGCAGAAAACCGGCTTCCCCATGATCGGATCATTTCAGACCTGTGTTGTGTTTGTTTCCTGGCCTTTTCGTCTCCACAAACTGATCACTCAGCTTGTGCAACACACATTTCTCCCCAGCCCTCCGCGCAGTGAATTTGCCTTTGTGCCCAGTTCCTGAGGGAGGGGCCTGAGCATCTCTCTCACCTGCACGGGGGTGGGGGTGGGGGTCAGAGAACAAAGTGAATAAAGACATGCTTGCCCACCCCCCCACACCCCCGGGAAGGAGTCAGGGCGGGGGGGCAAGGGTGTGGCTGCCAGCCGGAGTCTAGAATACAGTCCTCACCGGTGAGATGCAGAGGGCATTGCTAAGCCGTGGGTGGGGCCCGGAGTGGGTATGGAAGGACTGAGCCGGGCGACGTTTATAAACGTCGGCCTCCGGGTTTCTGCCCCTGGTCTCCTCGCAGTACCCAGCTTATCTGGGGTCTCTGAGGGTGGAGCTTCCCAGGAGGAGCCTGGATCCCGGTGGACCCCGCCTCTGCCACTCTGTGACCTCCTATGACACCAACCCTCCCAAGGTAAACCCTTCCCTCCCCCGGCCCGCGGCGTGGGGCAATAACTCCCGCCCCACCCGCCGGTTTCCTGGGCCTGGTGTGAGAAGCAAACTCAACACTGTGAGGAAATGCTGTGAGAAGCCAAAAAGCCCTTTGTGAGTCACAGTGTCCCATCTTTTCCCTGGAGTTAACCGGTCACCCTCCGCCCAGCTACCCGGAAACGTCTGGCGACCTCCTGCTGCCCCCTAGTGGCCAAACTGCGCCCAATTGATTTCTTCTGTTGGATTTCCGTTGAAGTCCTAAGAAGATGTAAATCCGCTGTGAAAAGAGCAATAACCAATCATAAAAGTAAAATAAAATAACAGTACAGCAATGAGCCCAACACAGGATGAGGTCATAAAGCGTATTCACTATTTTTCCATGCAGGAAAAAAGTGCCTAAAATGTACCAGGCCGTCTTAAACCTAGGACGGGAGTGCCGGGGACTTTGCTCTTCCCAGCCTCCCAGCTGCTGCCTCTAGGGTAAGCCTCGGGCGGGGGAGCCCATCTGACATCTGTCAGTGACTACTTGCCAAGGCTTTCATAGTGAAGTCCATATTCCCCCAAGACAAGACGAAGGAACAGGGGAGGGGATCAAAGTGTGCAGCTTGCAAACCTTTCCAGGTCACTCTCAGAGAGCTCAAAAGAGCTTGGCGTTGGGTCTTTCTTTGTTGATACCGGGACACCACACCTTTCTGGAGAGATCTTTTCTTGCAGACCAGAACTTGGTGGTCCATGGCTGCCTGGGCTCTCTGTGAGGGTGTCCTCAGACATGATCTCATCAAATGCTCACAGCCTCGAGGGAGGACTGTCGCCCCGTGTGAGCCTAGCTCCAACCAGCTACTCCAGCCCCACACAGTCCCTCACCCCTTTTACTGTGCTGGGATGAGAACAGAGTGTAGGGCGGGGAAGAAATTCTCTCTCTCTCTCTCTCTCTCTCTCTCTCTCTCTCTCTCACACACAAATTAAACATTCTCTTCCTTCATACCTGTAGAAGAAATAATCTAGTACACACAAACACACACACACACATTAAACATTCTCTTCCTTCATACCTGTAGAAGAAATAATCTAATACACACACAAAAAATTAAACATTCTCTTCCTTCATACCTGTAGAAGAAATAATCTAGTACACACACACACACACACACACACACACACACACACACACACACATTAAACATTCTCTTCCTTCATACCTGTAGAAGAAACAATCTAGTCCTGGGGAACGGAACTGAAAACTCACGCCCTCTGACCTGCTACCCTGCTTTCTTTTTTCTTCTCCTCTGCCTTGGATTTACGGGGAATCAAGCTCCCCCTCCCCTCCACTTCCCTCAGCTTCTCTCTCTTTCCTTCCTCTTCCTCCTCATCCTCTCCTTTTTTCCCCCTCTGTTGGCATTTGGGGGCGATGGGAGAAAATAGGGTCTCGTTGCATAGTTCACGTGGGCTTTGACCTTACTGTCCTCCTGCCTCAGCCTCAAGTCACTTCATTCTCCCCCTTGTCACTCAACTGATTGGCAGGTTTGAGTAGTTTCCTGGCCTAATGACCAATGTGGACACTACGTGTCACGTCCCTGCGGCTCTATGCCTCCCTGTCCTGAGCAGACAGCACCATGGACTTCCAGATACCCATAACAGACCCAGGGAGAATTTTGTCATCCTGGTGCCAAGTATGGTGCAGCTTTCATATACCCGCAAGCACCGCTCGGAATAGCTTGAGAGAAACTGGCAGAGACGAGGGAGATGGGCACGGAGCCTCAGGGACACAGGAGACTAGCCGGGGCACCACCCCCTGTCCCGGCAACCTTCTGACATCTCAGCACAACGTCTATCTACAGAGTTCACGATGGAGAACTGTGTGATCAAGTCACCATTGCCAGTTCACAACTGTCCCGGGGTGCGTGTGGACCACACAGGCCACCATGAGCCGTACAGCCCTGCATGTGAGTCACGGCAATTCCAGTGAATGTGGAGGAAGCCTTCTTCCGGGCCTTGCCTCTCGGGAAGGCATTTTAGTGAGCTCATGGTCGGGTTCTTACTCAGTGCAAGGAAACAGGCATTTCACAAACATCTGTGTGCTAGGCACCGGCCTCTTCACACGCACCGTTTCACAACCCACAAGGAAGACCTTGCAAGGTAAGGACGGCTTGCCCTGTTGTAGGTGTCAGTACATCCAGTTCAGGGAGGTTAAGAGAGACTTGCGCAAGATCCTTCGGCTAATGAGGAAAGTGCTGATTCACACCTGATGTGAACTCCAGAAGACGGTCCACCCTGAAAATGACAATGTGTCCAACTGGGGACAGTCTGGACTCGTCTTCTTCAGGGCGAAGGAAGGTCCTGAACGTGTATTAGGTGGGGGTGCGTGCCATGCTGTTTCGGATTAGATTTGCAAATCAAGCCATCAGATAACTTGGCTGTGCATAGGTGTGACTGTACCCAGTGTGCCCTTTGTCCCAATTTCTCCCTCCCTCCCTCCCTTTCCTGTGTCCAAAGGCCAAATCATGACCTTGTCATCGCTGTGGCTGCATTTGTCTTCCTGACACAGACATGTGGGCATCTGTGGACTCATTTACCAAGAAAAGAACTGAGAAAACCCAGGCTTTAGGGCTAGGTGGGTTTGGGTTTCAATTCTGCCTCTGCCAGGCTGGAGAGATGATGGTTCAGCAGTTAACAACACTAGCTGCTCTTCAGGAAGGCACTGGCCTTTCATTCCCAGCACACACATATGTGACACAGAGAGAGCCTTCTCTAGCTCCAGTTCCAGGACATCTGAAAGCACTCCCATGGCCTCCACGGGGACCGCAAAGCAGGTAGTGTAATAGGCATACACGCTGGCAAGCACTCATACACATAAAACAAAAAGTGTTCAGTGAGGCCAATAAAACTTTAAAAGCTGAGATATACATTCCAATTGTGCGGTGACTTTAGTGGGGGGGCAGGGAGCTACCCAAATTGTAGGATAGATGCAAGGGGATGCAAGGAGACGTTGAGAGGTGGTGAATAGCAGAGTCACTGCTCTGAGTCCTATTTACAACCTCTGTAGGACATTCAGGGGCTGGTAGTTGGCCATCCTAGAGTAAGAGAGACACAATTTCAGAGGTCCAAGAAGGCTCTGGGAATTCTCCAAGCCCTTTCCCACACAGTGCCTTATAACTGGCTCTTAGGGCCCCGGCTTTGAGTAAAACATAACCATCCCTAAGAGGTAATGATTCTTTACCTTGTTTAGGGAATCAGTGGGGAGCTGGGGAGGATTCCTGGCCATACACAGGCTCTTACAGAGTAGCCAGCGGAGTAATAATGTAACTCTCTGTAGAACTAGTCTACACACACACATATAGGTGATCTCACTTAACGCTTGCAATAGCCCAGTCTCCATGTTGCCACCAGGATAGTCAAAACCAGGGCTGCAGAGTCGTCCTTCTCTCCTGCTCCTCTTCCCCCTCCTCTTCTGGCTGTTAGATGGATCTTTTATTGAAATCAATTTCTCTTGTGCTTTGTTAACTAACCGGTCCTTCTACTTGTTGATGTCATCTGTGACGTCATGAGGGTGGCAACCATGGCCATGACAGCCCATGGATTGTACTGGGCCCAGGATGTCTTAACTAGTTCAAGGAAGTCCTCTAGCTAAGGACCAATCAGCTCTGCCCATGTCCAGCAATGCTGGCAATCTCACCACAAGTTTGGCATTCCCACTGGGTTTAATCCGCTTGTTTGTTTCTGTCTCTCGGAGGTTCCTTGGGAGTGTTGATGATAGGACCGAGGCAGAAGGTACCACCCAGACCGGGTCTTTCCGCTGTGGGTGGTCAGCTTCACTGTGATTCTCAGATTGTCCCAGTCAATCCTCTTGGCATCACCATCCTTTTGAGGAAATAGACCCAGGGGCCCGACCTTGGGAGTCAGAGCAGATGGGGTACCATCCTTGCCAGCGATGCATCTCAGATGCGTGGCTTGTAGGGTCTAGCTGAGGCTGAACTTGGGTGGACAACAGAGAAAGCTGAATTCTGATGACCCGTCACTCAAGTCTTAGCAGTGTCTCTGTTCTTGGTGCTGACACAACTCTGGCATTTAGGAGCAGAAATCGTCCTTCTAGGAGTGTGGGATTAACTGGGATCAATGTCTAGAACTCGTGTCCATCCCCAGCCCTTTTCCCTTTGGAGGAGGCAGTTGTCCCTTGCCTCTCCCCCACAAAGGTCTACTTTGCATGTGTAGTCAGAGGACTCACATCAATGCATGTCCTTGATATATGGAGGCAGCCTGAAGGCCTGGGAGCCCATATGGTATGTGTGTGTGTGTGTGTGTGTGTGTGTGTGTGTGTGTGTGTGTGTAGGAGCAAAGAAGAAGTAGGGGCCTATTGAGGGTTGGTGCAGAGAAATAGGACTGTTCTGTTCTAGGCCTAAGATAGTCCACATCCAAGCAGTGACCGCCCCACACCTGCCCTGGCCAAGACAACCACTACCAAGTGCAAAGTATTTCTTGGAACCCAGGGGAAAAAAATAAGTTTTGGGAAAGTCACACACAGATATGCCAGGTCTCCAAACCATACTGGTGCAACTTAGCCGTGATCTGGCATGACCAACCCAGGCAGTATGGCAATGGTGACTGGGGTACCTTCACTTCTGTTTATCAAGAACACATGGACAGAGGCTGAGTATAGTCAGGCCAAAACAAGCAGACCTTGCCCTAGCAACACACCATAGCATTGGTTTCACCACGTTCCCTTCTAATGTCCCTCAAGAGGATTGACAGTCTCCATGGGATGGCTTATGATGACTGATGTGACCCAACCACCCCAACTTTAACCATTTCTCTTAACAAGTACAGCCTTGGAGCCAACACAAAGTGAAACAAGGTTTTTGGTTTTGTTTTGCACAAAGTAAAGCTGCAGAATATCACGCTGCTTGAAGTTTGAGGAGTGGTTGTTTAAACCCCCCCACACACACACACACTGCATCAGTTGGCTCCCCTTTCCTATGTACAGTTCCAGCCCCTGACTCCAGGAGCAATTAATCTGGTCCCTTGGTCTGTTTCTTCTGTGGAACCGGCTAAACTGGCCTTTCTCATTCTGAGGTTTGCAGAGAATCCTCAGAAAGACCCCAGCTTCAATCACTGGCACTTCAAAAGGGCTCTTGCAGTGGCAACATGGTTCCTTTGCTCTGTCAGCAAGCCCTTCATGCATGAAGCCCTTCAGCGCACTCACACAGAGAACCCAGATAAGAGGGAAGGTCTTTCTTCTGCTGGGGGAGGGGCTTAGTTTGTAAACTACATTTTTCCCCCTCATCTCATGCCTAAGAGTTGTTCCATCCCTTCTCCCCCCAAAACAAAACTTCATTCTGTTTTTTTTTGCAAATTAAAGAGTATTAGATTGTTGATGTGTAATATTCCTTCTGTTACCGTGACTTTCAGACAAGAATAGTTTTCTACAACTCTCAAATGACTTTCTTCTCCGCACTAAAAATACTTACATAGGTGG